AAAAAAAATTTAAATATTAAAAAGATTAGTTTTTGAAATTTTGATTGTTACTGTCAAGTTTATTAAAACTGTAATTGAAAGTGGTTTTAGTTCAACGCTTATCTGTTAGGAATATAAATATAAAAAATATGTATATGACATAAAAAGAAAATAATATTTACAAAAATGAGTTCATTGGCTTCTTGTTTTTCAACCAATAGAATTTGCGACATAAAAAAAGGTAGCGATAAACAATTTTGCATATTATCAGTTACACATTTAATCGCAAACAGCTCATACATGCTACAATGTTATCACTTATTATTGAGAACACTAAAACACATTATTGTACTACACTGTAAAAATTTGGGGTCAAATTATGGGGAAAAGTACCGCCACTCAAGGCGCAGGTATCATTTACTGCAAAATTCATTTTAACCGGAACATGTTACGGAACAAATAATCTGATACATTGTAATTTTTACTGCAATTAACGTAAATTAACTGAATCACTCTAATTAAATAAATACTAGGAGGCTTCGCCCCCTGCTCGCTGGCGCTCGCCAACCCCCGGAACTGCTTTCGCAGTTCATTTCGGATTGCTTCGCAATCCGATGCTCGCTTTGCTCGCTCATTGGATACGTTCTTAACGTCTAGCTTTTGTATACTTTTTTGAACACTGAAGTACCGAAAACTTTTCACTGTAGAAAATTCTAAACCTGTGCATTTCAATATTAATTTGAAATTGCAAACAGTTCNCAAGTCTAACAAAAAGTTTTGAATGACATCAGTTTTATTTGAAGACTATGTAAGAAAATTGGATCGGAAATTCTTCGCTAAAAAAAGAAAAGTGATACTTTTTATGGATAAATGCACAACGCATAGTTATCTACCTAATTTGTAAGCAGTAAACTTGTCCCGCCAAACACAACAGCAAAGTTGCAGCCGATGGACCAGGGTATCATAAAGTGCTTCAAACAGTCTTATCGTAAATGGCTTGTCAGAAAAATGATCTTAAATATTGTAAGCATTTAGCAGATTTGTAATTAATAAGCGTTAATTAAATAATCCGACAATATTTCGAAAGTCCAAAACCGAAACTAACGGTAAGTCGAACTTCCGATATGTCGAAGTTTTTCGTCAGTCCTATCAGATTCGAGTTATCGCGAATTCACTGTATATAACTATATATATATATATATATATATATACAGTCAAATCCCGTTATAGTGAACCTTCAAGGGACCGAAATTTCGGTTCACTATAACTGGGTGTTCACTATATCCGTTACGATGGCAATTTAACTAATAGTTCCAAAACTCCTCCCTTTTATTACACATTATTCAAATAACTGACTGAAAAATATTATGTAGTAGCAAAAAATGTGTTATTTTTAATTACTTTTCGTCTTGCGTACAAAAGAAAATTGCAATCTTTAGCTGATGAGCAATCCTCAACATCAGATATAGAAATACTTCCCGACTCTCAGATAATTTTTCCTGAATTTCTGTTATTCCGTTTTTTAAACAGGTCTAACTTGCCATTCGAGCACATAAAGTAGTCTCATAAAATCACTTAGCAAATTCATCGACATTTGTCCAAATACTGGAAGATTGCCTTCTTCGAATGGTGAACCACTTCAGTAATGCTTCTTCAACATCCTTGCGATCTGCTTTCTAATCTTGCTTTCTAATCTTTCATCCTTGCGATCTGCTGCCATCTAAATTTCTCTCATGAGCAGAAATTATTAATTGCCTAGTTTTCCATATGTTACAAACTGCAGTTTTGGATAATTTATATTCCCTGAAAATATCAGCTTGATTGCATCCATTTTCAATTTTTCTGATTATGCCCATTTTATCATCAAAGGAGAACGTCTTACGTTTACTGCTCGCCATAGTTAAATTTGAGACACTTGTGTGCAGACTTTCTTTTAGCTGAACTGAGAGCAAAAAGGTGTTGAAATGAGAGCCTTATCAACACATATTAGTGTCCAACCCTTTGACAAATAATGAATAATTGCTCATTCCATCTGACAGAAAATGCATATTGATCCCACTGACACCTTACAGGTGCATCATCTGTCTGGGTTGGAAACATCTGCTTGGTTTGTTTAGGGATGGGAAAGTGAAATAAAAAAAGGCAAACAATAAAAAATGCTTATCACTACATTACCCCTCTACAGATGGTTTTAAAAATCGGTATATGTATTTATTTTGAAGTAGAAATTTCAAAATCATTACAAAAAAAATCAGTCGAAGACAGAAAAAAGTTCATTATATCCAACTTCCACACTTTTTTGGTTCACTATATCCACAAAAAATAACATTATGCGCGCATAGCAAGGCACGGGACCAAGCATTTCGTTCACTATATCCGTGAGTTCACTATAAACCGTGTTCACTATAGCGAGGTTTGACTGTATATACATACATATATATATATATGTATGTATGTTAATGAAAGTGTCTAAAGGACTAAAATAATCAAAATAATTCTGTTTTTGTAGGCCACAGCTCTTTAATATCATCACCAAAAACTTCTTAAGTTCTCACCCAACGTCCTTCGCAGCTATTTCATTCCTTTCTTCTTTTTAGTTGTCTGCTGTTTATTTGCTAATGGAAAATCATCAAAATTTTGATTGGTGATAAAATGAAAGAAATAGGTGAAACATTTTTCTTTCACCAGTTACGCAATACTTAACTTGCATTGTAATCAAGACTAGAACTCCAACTGAAATCCACTCTAGCTAGTTGAAATTTCTACTGATGGGGATTTTGATTGGCGATAAATTCGAATTAACTCTAACCTGACGACAAATTCTGTTTTTAGAGAACTGAAAACATTTGAAACCTCTGATGGGGTTATAAATTAGAGAGTTTCATTTTAAAATTTGTTGCTCTAGTTAATTGAAACTTTGATTAGATTGTACATTCCCTTCGGCGATTTTATCGCAACAGTTGTAAATACGCATATTTCAAATATTAGTGTTTAAGAAGAGACGAAAAGAAATCATATTAATGTATAGCATGTATTGTTAACATCATTGTCCTCAAAGAATTAAATATCTATAAATGATATTATCAGCAGTTACTTTTAAATGTTATACAGAGTGTTCAATAATTACCACTGTTTATTTTTAGAATCCTTGACAAAAACAGGATGTTAATGTAGCTATACTAATCACTGTAATCACTGAATGACTCTTAAAGACGGGTGTAAAAGAACCAAAACCTGTTTAATTGAAAATTAATGGCCCTAATCTTTTTAATTTGGTTCTTTCTCATGTAAAAAATATCGAGTGAACATATTAGAATTATTTCTCATGAACAAAATTTCGGGGGGCTCAAAACCATATGACCAAGGCCTCGTGTATAAAAAAAATAAGAATAGTGTAATGTAATACATAAATATCTCGCATTCCTTCCTTCTTTGGTGGCACTACAGCCCAGGATGCGTGCTCTTTATAAGAGACAAGCTGTATTTATTTATTTTCTAACAGCTCTAACATGTCTTCTATTGAAAATATAATTTAAAATTTGGAGACAACAGCCTCAAATTTGAACATTTATTAATTTATATTAAAATACCTTTAACATATGTTCTATAGAAAATATACTTCAACTTTATAACAGACAACCTTTATTTATTTTATAAAAGCTTTCAGTTTCAACACTTCTTTTACTGAAAGTATAATTTAAATTTTGGTGACCACATCCTCAAATTTGAACATTTATTTATTTATTTTAACACATAGTTGAACTTATACTAGATAGAAAATATCCTTTAACTTATATGAGACACCTTTTATTTATTTTTAAGGCAGATTAAACATATCTTTTATTGAAAATATAATTTAAAATTCGGAGACAGCAGACACAAATTTGAGCATTTATTTATTTAACACAGCTTTATTTAAAGTAAAATTTAAAATTTGGACAGAACAGCTTCAAAAGGAAACCTTTATTTGTTTTAACATTGGTTCAATATTTACTCAATAAAAATATACTTTAACTTTTATGAGACAACTTTTATTTATTTTTAATGACAGCTTCATCATATCTTTTATTTAAAACCTAATTTAAAATTTTGAGACTACAGTCTCAAATTTGAAGATTTATTCATTTATTTTAAAACAGCTTTAATATATGTTCTGTAGAAAATATGCCTTTATAAGAGACAACTTCTTAATATTTTTATGACAGCTTCATCATATCTTAATTTAAAAATATAATTTAAAATTTGGAGGCAACAGCTTCAAAAAGGAAATTTTTATTTATTTTAACATAGATTCAACATATACTTCAACTTTTATGAGACAACCTTTATTTTTTTTTTTTGACAGCTCCAACATATCTTTTATTCAAAATATAATTTAAAGTTCGGAAACTATAGTCTCAAATTTGAACATATATTAATTTATTTTAACACAACTTTAATATGTGTTCGATAGAAAATACGATTTAACTTTATAAGAGACAAAATTTTTTGAATTTATTTTATAAAATCTTCAACATTTGTTTTATTGAAAATATAATTTAAAATTTGGTGACAAAAGCTTCTTCATTTATTTTAATACAGATTCAACGTAACTTTCAATGAAAATATAATTTAAAATCCGATGACAACAATCTAATGGATTTAATTATTTATTTATTTTAACGCAACTTTGAAATATATTCGATACAAAATATTCTTTAACATTATAAAATAAAACCTCTATTTATTAATTTTATAACAGCTTTAACATATATTTTATGCAAACATGCTATAAATTTTGGAGACAACAGCGTTAAGAAGGAACCTTTATTTATTTATTTGCTTTAAATGAAAAATTCTATCCTTCTTATAGTAAAGTATTGATAAAAAATAATCTGTTGATTTAATAGTGTGACTATAAAAAAGTTTCAAGATTTTGTTTTTCTAAGAAAGGAATATTTATTCATTTGGCGCAATTAATCACGCGCCGTTACAACTCTTGAAATTATTTATTAATAAATTATAAGTGATTACAAACTTCGATAGTTCGACCTTTTCAAAGAAAACAAGTTTATTAGGTTGAAAAGTTAACTCATGAAAATGAATAGCTTGATTAGAAAGCAATTATTCCGGCTTGCTGTTTCAACCGTTTTTAATTGAACGTTATGCAATGCGTATGTGACGAAGTATATAAAATGTGCATTTGATGCTACGAAAATTTATAAATAAGTTGCTATTTAAAGTATTGCAAGGTTATCTTGCATCTAAATATAGACACGTTCACCTTGCACCTACAAGATTTGTAAAAAGTTCGAGAGTGTCCTTGAACATTTATATTTTCAATCTCTACTCAGGTAAGGAAAGGGCAATTTATATATGGAATAAGTCATCGACGTGATTCAAATATTAATTGAGATAAGTGCATTAACGGCCTATTTTTAAAACCAAATTGCGAAATGTGGCAGATTTTTTAATGTTTACTAGCAGTCTATGTTACTTTCTTCGCCAAGGTAGGTCATTCTGTGGAATGTTTTTGAAGAGTTGCTTCGTTGTATTTTTTCTGCTAAACAATGAAGGTGAAGGTGTTGATGGAGTATGGCGAAAAAAAACATTACAAATGCTTTATTGAGAGCCTCCGAAAGGACTTTTTGAAAGATAAACTCGATTGCAATGAAAGCGCTGAAAAACTCGCCAAATCACCACAAAAATCATCCTGTTGGAATAAAAATAACGATGTTTCTGATAAAAATAACAATATTTCTGTTAAAAATAACAATATTTCTGTTAAAAATAGCATAGACGTAATCGATGTTTCTGATACAGAAGAATCGACGATTTCTCAAACCAGCAATGGCCGCCCTCAAATCAACAGGAAAAAAAGCGGTACAGTTGATACCACATGGCTTGAGAAAATGGATATTAAGTACGTACCATTGGATTATTCAACGATAGAGGAACATGCTAATTCGAATGGTGAGTATTCTAATTGTAGTTCTAATGCCTTTCCTGTACAAAATGGAGGGGGTGGTCTGCGTAATCCGAAGTGTGCGCGGTGCAGAAATCATGGCAAAAGTGTGGATTTGAAAGGACATAAGCGACATTGTGTGCATCGCAGGTGTAAGTGTGAAAAGTGCATGGTGATTGCTGAAAGGCAAAAAGTTATGGCGAAGCAAGTTGCTTTGAGACGTGCACTTATTCAGGATGAAGTTATGGGGAAAATGGTTCCCAAGACAACGGAAGTAGTTACCAAAGACATGGATTATGACGATGATGATAGTGATAGCTGCATTGAGATAGAAAATAATAAGTTTGTTGCTGAGGGGACGCAAACTGATCCTGATATCGAAGAAAAAATAAGTAAATATTTTTAAATTATTATTATTATTATTATTTATTTTTTTTGAGCTTCATACGAGTATAGCAACTTAATGTAAAAATATAACGAATTGAACACTAATTATTATGAGTTTATTTTTTGAAAGCAAATGGTTCAAAAACTAATTTCCAGACAATTTTTCTCATAACTAGGCGAAGGTCTGCTTAATTTATTCAAAAAAGAATAAAAACATAAATGTAGTGTAAGAGAAGCACAATAATAATAAAAAAAAACATTTCATGGTTCAAAAACTAATTTCCAGACAGTTTCTTCTTATAAATAGGTAAAAATCCGTTTAATTTACTAGAAAAGAATAAAATCATGAATATAATTTAAGAAAAGAAATAATGTAAAAAAAAAATTGTTTCAAAACCAATGCGTAAATTAGAAATGCACTTTTTTATATTTATTTAGCAGAAGAATATATTTTAGTTAAATCGAATTTGGTTTTTACTTTAGAAAATAGTTCTAAATAAATATTAAATGTCAGCTGAGAAAATTCGAAAATCACCCTTTTGCAAATGCTATAAGAATTAAAAAATTCCAGAAGTAGTCAGTATTTTGGAATTAAAATATTAACATTCCTAAATTTGCAACCATGCAGGAAATTTTTGAGTGCTATAAATTACTTGTACCATAAAGTTGCAAATAAATTAAATATTTTGGAAAATAATCTAAATCACTAAATAAATACCCTAATAAATGATCTGTTAGTATTTAGCCCATATTTTTTCCTCAGACAGCTTGATTAGGTGATTTGATTAAAATAGAGGCAACGAATGTGATACAAATCTCGAACCATATTAAATTTTTCTAAGAACCGTGAAAACCCTAATAATATTGTCATGTCCAATCTATGTATCCACAGCATCCCCATAAATTCATCTATTCCTTTTAACTTACCATTCATTAGTTAAAGACGTGCATATCATTCATAGCATTATAATTTATAACATAAAAATATTTGCATTTATCGTTTATAACATTGGGAAATATTATATATGAATAAATATGGCTATTAAGACGCAATTAAAGTACAATTTAAAAAATTGCTTTTCCACCACAAAAGTCTAGTTTTTTAAATTTTTCTAATTTGTTATTTAACAATCTAGTGTTTTACATTGTAATTACAAATAAACACTGTAAAAAAAGGTTTTTCCACATGGAGCGAAAACGTGTAAAAGTAGATCCGAAGCAAGTATAACAGTCGAATTTGAAAATCGCCATGTATTCAAAATTGAAATTGATTCAAAATTGAATTCAATATTATCATTCCTGAGCAAAATGGACAAAAGTGACGTGGAGAGAAAAATTTTGGCAGCTGAAGGAAGATTCGAACCAAAGACCACCGGGTTCGTAGTAGCATGCTGAAGCCACCCTAATTACACTTTAGTCCAGAGAGAGTTTGGAAGCCTTATGTTATAGTCGCTGCGAGGAATTATGGACTATTACTTGTTTCGAAGCTATTTTGACACATTTTTGAGAAACCCTTTTTTACAGTGGAAGTATAATGCAACTTTGCTAACCAGCCAAAACTTATAGTGAAATCCTGAACGATAAATAACAGAAATATTCCATTTTGTCTACTCTAGTTCCTCTCTCCCTCACTTGCGAGATATTGTCTCCTGAAAATCATTAGTTTTCTAGATGCACTCTTTCAAAAATATAATAAAAATAACAGTGCATTGCTTAACGTTGCCAATATAAAGTTATTTTCACATTCTAATAAAGATATAATTAGTTCTAATAAAGTTATAAGTTCTAATAAAGTTATAAGTTCTAATAAAGATATGAGATTATTAATTCTAATAAAGATATGAAATTTCTTAAAAATTAAATCATAACAAAGATCATAGATCATAACAAATATTAATATAACATTCAAACTTTTTAAATTACCTTAACATAACATATTCACTCTCTTTCTTGAATCTAATTAGTGCCTGGATTATTTCTGAAACAAGTAAATTGTTTTTATTTTTGATATTGAACTAAAGATAACATGAAAGCTAAGTATGTCAAGATAAAAGAAATTATGAATATTTATTATTTTAAATTTAGCTAGACAGTAGAATATAATATGATTTTGGTATGTCGTGGTAAAGTCTTGGATTTGATTTTTATTTGTATGTTTTGTCCAATTACTTGAGGAATACAAATTAGTTACTAACTATCTAATCATATTTGACACATTGACCTAATTATAATCATCGACATAATCGAATATTCTATTATTATTAATTATTAACCTAAGCCATGGTTTTACAAATTGCACAACAAATTCAACTCTAAAAAACATAATCTTTGCTTTTATTTTTGAATAAATTATGAATAATAAAGTAGAGCAAAATAAACCTTCTTTTTAGTATAGAAGCATACAAATTAAATTCTGAATGCTAAGTATTATTTACGAATTGAAAATTTATTAGGCTTCAAAGTATTATGATATTCGGAAAATAGTAATTATTATATTAAATTACTTATTTATAATATACTATGTTTTAATGAGATAGATATCCTTCCTAATGTATTCATCTAAAACTCAAATTATGTTTTTAACGACCTAAATTATGTTTTTATGTTAGTGAATTTTTGTCATAAACATATTTTTTCGTTTATCATATATTTGCTCAGTAATTACATATTTTAGTAGTTATCAATTCCTTACATAAACATATTTTTTCCTTTATCTTATTTTTGTGCTGTAATTACATATTTTAGTAGTTATCAATTCTTTACATAAATATATTTTTTCGTTTATCATATTTGTGTTCAGTAATTACATATTTTAGTAGTTTTCAATTCCTTACATAAACATATTTTTTCGTTTATCATATTTTTGTGCTGTAATTACATATTTTAGTAGTTATCAATTCCTTACATAAACATATTTTTTCCTTTATCTTATTTTTGTGCTGTAATTACATATTTTAGTAGTTATCAATTCTTTACATAAATATATTTTTTCGTTTATCATATTTGTGTTCAGTAATTACATATTTTAGTAGTTTTCAATTCCTTACATAAACATATTTTTTCTTTTATCTTATTTTTGTCCAGTTATTATATGGTTTTATGTTTATCAATTCAACATAAATATAATTACTCGGCTTTAAATTTTCATAGTATAATAATTATATTTTAAATCGCCTTTCAAAATGACTTATTAACAAAACATATCTGATTTAAGCTAGAAATTCGAGACTCTGAAATCAATTTGTATTCGCTTTTAATGTTAATCAACTGTAATTGCACACAGAGAAAAAGATTTTTGCAAAATTACCGGACTGCATAGTAATAATATTTTAGTAAAAACAAAACAAACAAAAAACATAATTTTGGTTAATATTACTGATATGTATACGGTATTTAAACCTTTCGTTTGGTAATTTTGCCGTTCATATGGTAACGATTTATCGGAAATTCTAATTTACAAAATTATAGTTCTTATTACCACATATTTAGTAAAAACTTCAAAACTAGAAAGTAAATTTATTCAAATTTTACCAAATATACCAAATTATACCAAATTTTACCACAATAAAAAAATTTTGACACATATTCTAAAATTATATATTTTTTTTAAATTTTACCGCAGTCATTAACCTATGCTCTTCAGTAAAAGAGCTTTTTGTGTTTTCCAATAGAGCCAGAAACTCGGTAAATTGGTACCATATTGCGGTACCAATATGCGGTACCATAATGCGGAATCAATTGGTACCATCTGGTTGTTTTGACCATAATTTTTTTCTGAGTGAAGAGTTCATCAATTTACATAACTGCAACGTTTCCATTCGGCGCACTTTGTTCCATGGAACAAGCGAACTTAGTCACCTTTTAGGCATCCAAAGCATTTTTTTTAATATATCAATAATATATCGATAGTCTATCGATAATGTATCGATAATCCATCTATAAAATCTGAACACAAATATTCGTTTTAAAAAAATACGTTTCTAAGTGTTTTTCCATTTATACACAAAATATTTTTTGTAGATTTAACGCAAACTATTTCAAGGGAGAAATTTAGAAGAATCTGTTCCTAATCCTATATGTTATTATTTGCTTTAGAATATAAAATTTTATTTCAAAATTATCATTGATACTTATAAAAAGAAAACCATATTCAAACTTCCTTATTCATAAAAATTAAAATTGATTACTTAAAATCACCTTGTCCATGCAATGGAGTATTCACAATTATTAATCTTTCTTTTGGTAACATATTATCAACAATTTTCCCTAAAACCCATTGAAAGGGATTTATATAATAACAACACTAGCTAAAACTATTATCCAAAAGCGACTGTTCATCCGTACTATTTTAACTAACGCCACCGGATAGCATCTAAAAGCAGAAAAGATAAAAATAGAAATCGCAGTTTAGTGCGTAAAAGTCTTAATATAAGTATTACTTATCGCAAGAGGATGGGCTGGCTAGTTAGAAACAATTCTAGGAACATCTGATAAGGTTCGAATGCGACAATGTTATTTTTCTCAGTCATAAATGCTACAAGAAAAATACAATTTATCTGTTGGATAAACAAGTGGGTGAATTTTCGAAGATGTAATTTTTCTAAAATTTAAAACACAATACATACAGCTATGCGTTGTGAAATATTCCGAATGAATTACTATGCATTTTTTTAAATTATAATTTATTTATTTTAGTTCAGTGAATTATTCAAAAATAAGACATAGAATACGAAAATAAATGCACCGTCACTAAATTAACGTATATATTGCATGTAGATATATAATGGGTTAAGGTAATAAATCTGGCAATTTTTAATAATAACCATGATAAATTAATCACATTAACCGGTTATTATTAAGAATTGCCGCCAATGATAAATCAAGCTTATTAATCACAATAAACGGTTATTATTAATAATTGCCAATGATAAATTATGCTTATTAATCACAATAGCCGGTTATTATTATTAATTGTCAATGACAAATTAAGCACAATAATTACATT